CGACCGCGTCGCGCGTGACATCGAGCTGCTCGACGCCACCCTCGTTGCCTTTTGCGCGGTGCCTTTGCGACGCGAAGGCGCCATATTCTCGGGGAGTTGAGGCCTTTGTTGGCGTCCGGTTTCGCTGGCCCCAGACCCGCGGGCAATTGCGCCCGGCCTGGGCCGTGGCGGCTCGCTGGCGCAACTTCGAGCCAGTGCCTGTCGAGGTGATCCTGGCCCTGGCCATCGCTGCCCGCGCGCGAGGATGGGGCGGGGCATCAGCGTGCCAGCTGCCCGTTTTCAATTCTCTGCTGCGGCCAAACGAGGTCGCGAATGCCCGCAGGCAGCGCCTCGTCTTGTCTGGAGGCCCGGGAGGCGACGTCAATGTAGGCGTGCTTGTGCTTCTCTCCGCCAAGACATCGGGCCGCGGGCCAAAGTTCCAGATCGCCCCGATCGACGATCCTGCGCTGCTGAACTGACTGGGGCGCGTCTTTGGGCCCCTCTCGCCGACGGCAGCGTCGAGCCCAGGACAGCTGCGCGGGCTGGGCTGGAGGTTCAGCTGCCTCGGGGGCCTCGTCGGCGTTGGCAACTCGCCCTGCACCCTTGGGTTCCTGCGAGGGGGCCAGGTCATCCATTGCCTCCGCTCGTTTCAGAACCTGAGACTGCGACGGTGCCATGGGAGGTGGGGGAATGCCAAATCCATGCGTCACGATCTCCAAATAGGCGCGGCTGGCTTGCTTAACTCACTCCAGGTGGGCGGGGCGTTGGGCGACTGTGCCGCCGACGCGCCCAGGGGGCAAGGCGCGCTTTAGACGCGTGGCAATGACGGCGTGGTTGGAGCAGGTCTAGAGCTCTCTGTCCTTGGGGATCTGTGAGGCCGCGCGGCAGAATCGGCGCCGCTGCGCCCCGGCGCCCCTGGCCGACCTTTGGCCGGCCTTTCCTCGCAAACTTCGCTCGCCGGGTGCTGCGGAAAACGAACGTCTGAGATCATGTGAGCACACAGGTTATGATAGTCGACGGAAATGACCTGAAGCTTTCACGCCCTTGCCCCCGCCCTTGCGAACTGCTTCTGGACATGTCGAGAGCTCTTTGTCTTTGGGGCTCTTCGAGGCCGCGCGGCCGAACCAGCGCCGCTGCGCCTCGTCGCCGCTTGCCGTTGGCGAGCCTTTTCCCTGCTACGTCACACATGGGGTGCTTTGGAAAACGAGCGTCGGGGAGCATGATGATGATGCTGATGCTGGCGATGTTGCTGGGGGTGATGATGATGGTAGCGATGCTGATGATGGCGATGATGGTGATTTTGTTGATGACGATCATGTTGCTGCTGTTTATTAGTTTGCAGTGTTGTTCATATCACCATGTTTGTTAATGCTCGCATTCGTATTTATATATATACATATATATATAGAACTTCATTTTGTATTTAATTCGTAATACTCTAGTACGGTGTGGGCGTTGGCTCAGGAATGTGCCCAGGAGGCTTCAGACCCTGGAGGTTTTTTATATGATGAGGGCGTCTGCAATTTCCGTGCCCAATCCACGATTGGCTGTTCACTGGCATCCAGACCCTGGATTCCTTATCCACTGGTTCCCCTGTTCCAGCGCTCCCACCGTATTTGTATCATTATCAGGATCATTCTTTTTTATGGTCAGTCGTGCTACTGCTATCGTAATCGTTGTCATTCTCCTTATTTGTCTCATTATATGAACATTCGTACGCATATAAAAACAACCATTGCTACTAAGTATATGTATCATTGCTTTGTTTACGGTGATGATGTTGAGGAGGAATACGACGAGTCGGGGGATTCAATCGAACGAGCACGAGGAACTGCGGATGATGTGGTGGAGGTAGGGAAGGAGTCATGGTGTTGCTGCTACTGGTTATGATGGTGCGGGTGGCGATGATGAAAATGGTAACGATGACCGTGTTGTTGTTGTTGTTGTTGTTGTTGTTGTTGTTGTAGTTGTTGTAGTTGTTGTTGATGATGTTGATGATGTTGATGTTGGTGTTGATGTTGATATTGAGGTTGTTGTGGATGATCAATGTGATAATGATGATGATGATGATGATGATGATGATGATGATGATGATGATGATGAGGATGGGGGAGGAGGAGGAGGAGGAGGAGGAGGAGGAGGAGGAGGAGGAGGAGGAGGAGGAGGAGGAGGAGGAGGAGGAGGACGAGGAGGAGGAGGAGGAGGAGGAGGAGGAGGACGGGGAGGAGGAGGAGGAGGAGGAGGAGGAGGAGGAGGGGAGGAGGAGGAAGAGGAGGGGAGGAGGAGGAGGACGAGGAGGAGGGAGGAAGAGTTTGAAAAGAAGGAAGAGGAAGAGGAGGAGGAGGAGGAGGAGGAGTAGCAGTAGGAGGAGGAGGAGGAGGAGGAGGAGGAGGAGGAGGAGGAGGAGGACGAGGAGGAGGAGGAGGAGGAGGAGGAGGAGGAGGAGGAGGGGGAGGAGGAGGAGGAGGAGGAGGAGGAGGAGGAGGAGGAAGAGGAGGAGAGGAGGAGGAGGAGGACGAGGAGGAGGGAGGAAGAGTTTGAAAAGAAGGACGAGGAAGAGGAGGAGGAGGAGGAGGAGGAGGAGTAGCAGTAGGAGGAGGAGGAGGAGGAGGAGGAGGAGGAGGAGGAGGAGAAGGAGGAGGAGGAGGAGGAACCGCAGGCACGGGGCCTAGCAGTCAAGCACCAGAAAAAACTGGAACTAGCTGATATCAGAAAAGGTTGAGCTCAGCTCGAAGATAAACAGTTCAATGCACAATGCATCTATCTCCAGCGTCGCGGGGAGGAGGAAAAGTAACGAATTTCCCCCCCCCCCCCCCCCGCGGGGAGGAGGAAAAGTAACGAATTTCCTCTTTCCCCCCCGGATAGCGCGTGCGGCCTGCCCTGCGGCAGGGGCAACGGCCTCGGAGTACTGCGCAACGCGATCACCATTCTGTTATCGGGGCTCCTGTTTTGGGGTGGAGGCCTTTTTGGACCTTGCCGACTTTTCGCAAAACCGCGGCCACGGCCCGAGGCTCCCTGGGGGTCCCAAGGCAGGCCGAGTTGAGGCCGCTCCGACCAGCCAAGCCAAAATCCCCCGTACAGGATGCCCCACACTTCGTGCAGATCGCAACACGCCCATGCGCGAAAGGCTTGTGATCGAGCTCACGGAAAACCTCGAACAGAGCTTCTTGGTCCTCCACAACCCTGGGAGCCGGCGGCCCCAGGACCCCGTCAGCGGTCGCGAGGGCCGAGGAAACCTCACCACCCAGGAACGGGCCCCGAAAATCGTGGAGGACCAAGCCCGACTGCAGGAAGAACTGCCTCGCGTTCCACCTGTCTGTCGGAGACGGCTCACACTTACTATTCAGCAGGTGCGAGAGGTGCCCTTCAGTGCGGGCAACGCATGCACAGACCTTACAGCGGTACTCGTTGCGCGGCTCGACCCAACTCAGGTCGTGACGCACTACCCCCAAGGCATTCGAGCGGGCCAAGACCGCCGGCTTAACGCAGGCGCTTTGCTCGTGCCATGCGTTCAACTCCAAGGCCCTAACTACAGCCCAGGACACATATTCAAGCAGCTCCTGAGCCCGTTTGAGCTCCGCGGCCAGGATCTCGCAGAATCCCTGGGATACAGCGTGCTGGTGGGCCCCGAGTTTCGCAAACCAGTCGGCCCACCTATTGCCGACACACCACCTTAGAAGGATCCCAAGATCCAGGGCCTCCTGGAGGGTCTTGTGCGCGGGGACCCAAGAGAAACTGGGGCCCTCGGGTCCCCGCACCTTAAACATATTACGCCAGATTCGAGCATGCTTACCCCTCGCCGACTCCAGCGACCGATCCCACGACGACCCCTCCGACACTAACGACGACAAGTCGGCGACGACGTGTTCGATGCGGCGAGGGGTGTGCTCCAACAGCTTGAAAACGCAATACCTCTCGGCCCTCCCCACAGTTTGAATGCCGGGGAGGGCGCCGTAGAGGGCGCGCACAGGAAGGAGCTCGTCATTCAGCTGCACCGCGCCGTACCCACATCTGGTAACTTTGGCACGGTGCTGGCCAGGCCCGAGCCGTCTGTACAGGCTTCTGGCCCCCAGCGGTCGGGAGCCGCATCTCCCCATAGCAGGGCAGGGAACGAGTCGGCAGCAGGCGCAACGGCGAAAGCGTGCGGGACGGCAGCGATGCCGTAGGCGCACTCGGCTGACTCATGACCATCGGCTTCGCCGATGTCGGCAAGGTATCGTCGAACGTCCATCTGTGAGTCAGAGATCTCGACGAGGCCAGGGAGCTCCTCAGGCGTGGACAGGAGGCATGGACACTTACACCACATGTGCCCGTAGGTGCCATTGGGGGCGCCGCAGGCTTGGCACCTCGGGTCCCCATGTCCCTCGATCGCCTTTCGCCTTTCGGGCGTGATGAGTCGGCCAGCCCACAGCAGTTGTATGGCGCCGAGCTGGCGCGGGGGCAGCCGTCGTAGTCCAAGGCGTGGGCCACGCATCCAGAGTCGCCCGTCAGCAAGCGGAGCATGAACGTGATGAGCGATCCGCTGCCCCTGCCATCTCTGGATGCCTAGAAGAAGATGGTGGCGAAGGTCAGCGGGGCATACCTGCAGGAGGTTGTAGTGCACGCCGAGGTCCGAGCGAACAATCGTAGATGACACCATGTCCCAGCCCAGGCGTAGCAGCGTCAGCCACGTGGCCGCGATCGGTCCTCTGGCCAGTGTCCAGGTAGGTCGGGCTCGCATTTCGGTGGCAAGCTCCTGCCACGCGCGCTGCAGCCTCGCGGGGGACACGCGGTTGTCCCAGATCCACGAAGCGTAGCGCACCACCAGCGGCACCGACGTCTCGTAAATGGGGTCGTACCTCTCGTTGGCCTGGGAGGCGAGGTAGATCGTCACGCCGCCGCCGGTAGACCATCCAGCAAGCTTGGCAGCGGAGGCGGCGGAGGAGGGGCAGGATGAGGATGAGAAAAAGTAGAAGTTGGCGGAGGAGGATGAAAAGGCTGCCTTGGACGGAGAGTGCATTCTGGACAGTTGTCCTTCTGAGGTTCTGGGTGTGAGCGGCGACATGGAGGACCTGCTGCTGCGGACATGTACTTCGGCTCTTCAGGCCTCAACCGCGCAGTGTGTCTCTGTTTGGGGCGCGGGTGCGTGCCAGAGTCACAGCGTGGGCGGGACGGAGGGAGAGTGGATGAAAAACCGAAAGTGAGAGACGCAGAGATGGGCCGGCGAGATGGGCAGGGAAGGAGGGAGGGATGCAGGACTGGGAGATAGGGAAAGAAGGAGGGGTGAATAGAGTGTGTGTGGGCCTCGGAAAGGCATGAGCGAGGGTGACGGACGGATGTTTTGATGTGTGTGTGTGTGTGTGTCTGGGCACGCGCCGGTCGTCGCATCTTCGTCTTGCCGTGTTTCACCTGTGTTTCGCTCTCCTTCGTCTGCCTCTCCGGGCCTTTGGCCCGCGGCGTTTCGTCTCTGTCGGAGGCGGCGTGGCGTTCCCGCCACTCTCCAGCGGCTTTCCTCTCCGAGGTTCAAGCAGTGGCGAAGCGTCCCGGCTCGCCTACAGCCCTACCAAACAATGTTCTAGGAACCTTTTGCGGTTTCCACGAAATGTTCTTAGAACATTTCTGGCGGAGTCTGTCTTGTTTTATCATATCGGGTTTATGTTATACTAACATTGTCTTGGTTCTTAGAACATCTTTGGGTTCTAAGAGCATTCCGTGGTAGGACTAGTATAGGAATGCCGGGACGGTCGGTCCCTGCTCAAGAGGTGCTTCGTCGGTCAGTCTCTCCTCCTCATCTTGGGTCGCGGGGTTCGCTCGGTCGTCGCCGTCGTCGGTCGCGAGCTCGGCCGTGTCGCGGGGCCCCCCGCCGTCGTCTATCCGGGCTCTTCTCCTGCCTCTGCCCTCGCTTGCGCTCCCCTCCTCCCCCTCTCGCCTTCCTTCCGGGCTGCTCCCGCCGCGGGGAGTGGAGCCTCTTCCGCGTGCACGCCTTGCGGTCGCTGCCGGCGTGGTACGCCTCTTTCGCTCCCCTGTTCCTTCTCCTCCTCCTCCTTTTCCTTTTCCTCCTCCTCCTCCTTTTCCTTTTCCTCCTCCTCCTCCTTTTCTTCCTCCTCCTCCCTCTCCCTTTTTTTGGGGGGGGGTTCTCTCTATCTCTCTCTCTCTCTGGCTTTTCGTGCGTCTGCCCCCTTCCCGGTGTAGCACGGCCGCCCCCCTGGGCTGTGCGTGCCAGTGAGGGGCCACCTTGGCGGAGGTCTCCTGGGTTGGTCTCACCTTTGGTGCCCAGCCCCCCCCCCCCCCCCAGCTGCCGCTTCCCGCCTGTATGTCTGGGATGCCGCGTGAGTTTTGCTCCGGCATCCGCGAGCCTCGCGGCGCCTTCCGCGTCTTGTCCGAGGCGCCCTTGGTCGATTTGGTGACGCCCTAGACGTACGTCGGTGCACACCGTGTACCTCGCGTTTTTTCTTGTGCTGCCTGGGCGATACCCTACCAATCTATTTTTGTCGGGGCCCTCTATTGCAGCCTGTTTTGGCCAGCCTGGACGCATCACTGACACTGGCCTCCCATGGTGGCGTGGCTTCCCACCAAGGATTTACGGCATAGCGAATTGGTTGGTTTCGGCCCCGCATGGGCGTTGTTTCTACGCGTGCTGCTCGCGCGTTACCACAAATATATGCTGTCACACCGTCTGCTTTCTGCTACACTTAATTTATGTCTGGGTCGCGCTTTGTGGTGCTGCCCTGCTTGATTGGTCTAACATTCCATTTGTCTTGCTATTTCATCTTGTTTCGCTGGTTCGTAAGTTAACACCCTACCCATCAATTTCTCAGCGCTACCCTCCCCAAACGACTGGTCTGGCAGCCTTGCAGTTCTTGTCTTCACAGTCTAACATCGCAATGAGGGTTCAGTGGCACCAATTAGCACAAGACTGCTGGCGTTTCAAGTCATTCGAGTCTGGCTTTCTGTTCCTCGCCTTGTTGGCCGCTGCACGCTCGTTCTTCAGTACATCACTTTGCCTTTCCACCATCGTCCTGCACTGCAGTGGTGGACGTATCCTTCCCTGCGCGTTCCGACTAAGTTCGTTCGCACTTCGCATCTACATCTGCTGACGCCCACCACGTGCGCGTGAAAGCGGCATGGCGGTGCACACCTCCGTGCCTTCGAGGACCACTGCACGGCATGGCAGGGCGGTAGTCGCACCTCAGACGCAGTGCAGCCCTGCTGGCACCAAAAGACTTGCCTCGCAGAGCTTTTCGGTGCGGGCCTGACGAGGCTGGGGCGGAGCGGATGGATAGGTCAGCGTGCGGGCGATCGGAACAAAAATGTATGGTGGGTGGATTGGCGGTTGGACGGACGGACGGACGGGCAACAGGTCCAGCTTTGGGATCAAGTGGAGGGAAGGGGCGACGGATTGACGGACGGACGGACGGACGGTCGGACGAGGAGGAGGAGGACGAAGAGGGGTGGAAGGATGAGGAGGGCGGAGTGCTCACCTCTCGCATATCCTGGGTAACTCGAAGGAGCACATTTTGGAGGGATGACGACGGCGCTGATGATGATGATGATGATGATGATGATGATGATGATGATGATGATGATGATGATGATGATGATGATGATGGTGATGATGATGATGATGATGATGATGATGATGATGATGACGCTGGTGATGCTGACGATTATGATGCTGATGATGATGGTGATGGTGCTGGTGATGATGGTGATGATGATACTGCTGATGATGATGCTGATGCTGATGGTGGTGGTGGTGGTGATGATGATGATGATGATGATGATGATTGCTGCGATGCTGCTGATGATGATGATGATGATGATGATGATGATGATGATGATGATGATGATGATGATGATGATGATGATGATGATGATGATGATAATGAGGACGATGAGGAGGCGGAAGAGGAGAACGGTTAGGATAACGGTTAGGAGGAGGAGGAGGAGGAGGAGGAGGAGGAGGAGGAGGAAGCAGATGATGCGGCGCCGCGCTGACGTGTCGCGAGTTTTGGGCAGACTTGGCCCCGTCCGCGTAGTCCCTCTTTCCTTCCTTCCCTCCCCTGTCGCCTCGGCCCGCGTACGGAGCAGCTCCGCTCGTCGAGCAGTCGGGCCAATCCGTCGGCCCTGCGCTGCTCGTAGGGCTTCGGCAGAGTGAAAGAAGGACGGGGTGGAGGAGGAGGAGGAGGAGGAGGAGGCGGAGGAGGAGGAGGAGGAGGAGGAGGAGGACGAGGACACGGGGACGAGGACCAGTGCAAACCCAAGACGCATCAACGATGTTGGGGTAAGCCCTCCCCCCAAGCTCCCTCTTCATAGGCACCCACAAGGGTTCATATCCACTGAGGGAAGTGCCCTCGCGAATGAACTTGACTGTTGAGTCTTGACGGTCCGGAATCGCACCAGAACGCCATTCCTGGGACGTCACCACCGCACATCAGCGCAAATGTTGCGCCCTGGCAGTTCTGAAACGTTCCAAAACACGGTGTCTGGCACGGCAGCCATGAGAACCAGTGGAATTCTTGCACGTGTGTAAGACGAGAGTACGCGGCGCTAAGGCGAGAGCCACCGTTGTAAAAGGAACCGCCCTCATGTGAAACTTTTTCACATTGGTTGAACGAATGTGCGCGGCGCTAAGGCGAGAATTACATTTTGAAAACCACCCGCCCTCAACCCGTGAAGCTCTTGCAAATTATTGAAACACATGCGCGCGGCGTTAAGGCGAGACCAACACTTTGAAGACCACCTGACCTCAACCCGTGAAGCTCTTGCAAGTTATTAAGGCGAATGCGCGCGGCGCTCAGGCAGAGACCCCATTTGTGAAACGGTGTCAGTTGACAATTCACTGTCGTATGTGGGCATGTAGTCTCAGGCGAAATGCCTGGCCCGCCCTTTCGACCGGCCTCGGCGTGCGACAGGGAGGAATTATTTATAAGGAACTGTAATGGGTAGAGAA